AAGCTTTCATGTTATTGACACCAAATTCTGACCCTACCATCCGAATGTCGCAGCAGAAATCGAGACTCATCAGACCAGGCAACGTTTTTCCAATTTTCTATTGTACAATTCTGGTGAGCCTGTGCGAATTGTAGCCTCAGTTTCCTGTTCTTAGCTGACAGAAGTGGCACCAGGTGTGGTCTTCTGCTGCTGTAGCTTATCTGCCTCAAGATTGAACATGTTGTGTGTTCAGATATGCTCTTCTGCATCCCTCGGTTGTATCGAGTGGTTATTTGAGTTACTGTTGCCTTTCTATCAGCTGGAACCAGTCTGGCCGTTCTCCTCTGACATCAACAAGGCATTTGCGCTCACAGAACGGCCACTGACTGGAGATTTTCTTTTTCTGATCATTCTCTGTAAACCCTAGAGATGGTTGTGAGTGAAAATCCCAGTAGATCAGCAGTTTCTGAAATACCAGCCCGTCTGGTATCAACAACCATGCCATGTTCAAAGTCACTTAAATCACCTTTCTTTCCCATTCTGATGCTCTGTTTGAACTGCAGCAGATCATCTTGACCATGTCTACACGCCTAAATGCGCTGAGTTGCTGCCATGTAATTAGCTAATTAGAAATTTGCGCCAACAAGCAGTTGGACTGGTGTACCTAAAGTGGCCGGTGTGTGTATTTAAACAAAACTGTATTTAATTCATTCAAAAAGAGAGTGTGGTTCCAAAACATCTTTAGGAATAATACCATAATATAATTAAATATAAATGAGATATTGCACAAAAAAAATACAACAAAATATCAACAAAACTTAATATTATTTAAGGTTTTCTTGATTTTTCCTCTTTATTAAAATAATATTTCATGTTTTTCCTAACAAACACTCAAAAATGACTTTTGCTGCTTGTTCAAATGACTTATTTAAAATAAGCGGAAACCACATTTTTAAGTTTTTGAAGATACAACTTAATTGTTTTATGTTCAATCCACTTAAGTTTTTGGTCCCACTTTATATTAAGTGCCCTTAACTAATATGTACTTACACAGGAATTAATAGTTTGTTACAATGTACTTATTGTGTAAATACATGTATTTATTGTGTACTTATGCTTGATTAAATACCTGTATGTAATTACATCTGTAATTAACTTCTGTAATTACATATGTAAATACACTGCAGACATTCCCTACACCTTAACCCACCCATAAACCTACCCAACACCACCAAACCTGTCCCTAAGCCAACCCCTATCCCAACTCAAGTGCACCACTAGTGTTCTTAAATACTTTATGAACACAGTAAGTACATTGTATTTTTTTTTTTTTGATGTAATTACATAGTAGTTAAGGACACTTAATATAAAGTGGGACCAAGTTTTTAAACATTTTTAAGTTAACTTAATTGATTTGTGTTGGGACAACATGTAGGAACTATGTGAATCCCAGCAGTTTTCACAGTTTATTCATGGAAACATACACACTTAAGTTATTTTGTATATCAGTTCCAATTTGGGCTTTGGTATTGACCAAGGTAATGTATTGTATACACTGTACACAATTATCTTATTGTGTAAAGTATTTGTCTAAAAGAGATTTGTAAGAGGTGTACACATTTATGCTGGCCACTGCATGTATTATTATTTCAAAAATAACAAAGCATGGTCTTCTGAGTGAACCATGCACCTGCATAATTTCACTCATCACAGATCATAAAGCATCTTAATTGAAGCTGAATTGTCAACATCAAAAAGCAGCTGATATTGAATGAATTATTCTCACCTTAAAATCTGTGCCCGAGGGATTATAAGTGCAGGTGTGATTCAAAAGCTTTGAGATGATAGACACGCTTAAGTGTCGTTTTAACAGCCTGTTGATGAAACAGCAGATGAATAATAGTTACATGAAGCCCTGAGAGCAAATGTTGATTCGCCTCATCATCTTTATGGTCTATAATAAAAGGTCAACAAGCTGAATATTGCATTACAGGATTTCACTCACTTTCCACGACTGCTCTCAGGCAGAATAGAAACGATTCTCCTGAGGTTGTGATGGTCTTCTGACAAATCGGTCAAGATCTGGCAAGCTTTCGATATCTAGACATATTTTTAAAAGAGAGAGAGAGAAAGTTGTGTTAAACTAAATGGATAGTACACACAAAAATAAAAACTCAGTCAATGTTTTTTGTTTTCCTTTTTTGATTTTCTTCCATTCACCATAAAAGAAAACACAGATTAAAAAAATAAATAAATGAATGACAATTAATGAGCAAAGTTCCAAAATAACAATGGGCCTCATTCACCAAAATCTTCTTAAGAATTTCCATTAATTAATTCAGGAAAGTTTTTCAGAACAATCTATGTCAGATTCAGCATCTTCTTAATTGTTTTACAAAAAAAACATAGGTAACGCCACACAATTTTCTCATAAAAGGGTATGACAACTTAGTGGTTCTCAATTTTGGTCCTCGGGCACCCTCACCCTGCACATTTTGTATGTCTATCTTATTTGACACATAAAGATCAGAACCACAGCCCCAGGTTAATGCGCTGAAAAATATAGGATTGATTTGATTCGATTTTTTTATTTTCGAACAGAAATATCATACATAAAAATAAAAAAAAATAAAAAATTCAGCATGGTGAAAATGGAGCCGGATGAGGCATAGGCTTATTATTTTCCCACCCCATTACTACACACATCATTCGTCTATTACTTAAACTTATTTCTTCTTTTACTTATCTCTTCTTTTTACATGAGACATATGAGCTTTACATGAGACCTGTTTTATCCAATCGGAATCTTTGACATATATGCGATATGTTTGATTCCATTTATACACTTACATTTTATAACATAGACCCAAAAAATACATACTGTAGTATTACAAATGGCCGTTAATTAAAATTTCATCATACCTTTCTCATTTTATCCCTTTTAAATCACCTTCATCATTATATTTCTTTAATAATATCTATTTATACAACTTTTTAAATTGATTAATATCCTGACATTGTTTGAGCTTCTGTTCCAGACTGTTCCATAATTTTACACCACAGACAGACATACACAAACATTTTAAACTTGTTCTTGTTTTCAACCTCTTCAAATTTTGTTCTTCTTTCAGATTATATCCCCCTTGTCTTTCCTCAAAAAACTTTTGTGTGCACTTCGGAAGCATTTTATTCCTAGCTTTAAGCGTAAATTGTGCTGTTTTAAATTGAATCAAATCATTGAACATAAGCATCTTCAATTTAAAAAAATAAAGGATTCGTATGCTCCAAATACCCCACATTTTCTATCAGTCACATTACTTTTTTCTGCATTGTACATTAGGATCGTGAATTAGATTTATATGTATTCCCCCAAATTTCAATGTTTCAATGTGGGATGTTGAAGAAATGCACCAACATGTTAATTATTACTAAATTCTTTACAAAAACATAATCATTTTAAACGTAGGCTACAGGATGCTTTACACTTCAACCATGTTCCAGTTACATTAGTGCACAAGGCACTGTTATTACTGTCAATACAGGCAATATAAAATATATATATTTTTGTTATACAGATACATGAAAGACATTCAAAACTGTGATGCGTTTACAATTATTGTATAATCTTCTATATCAAAAACAAAACTCTGTGGCGATTTTTCTGTTATTTATCCTCTTCATACTACATATAAAGTGGTATATGACGTATCACATGCGCATGATGCTATTGATTCTAATTTGATCATATTTTTGTAAGACAGATACGAGAAAGACATTCAAAACTGTGGAGTGTTTACAATTACTGTATACTCTTCTATACCAAAAACAAACCCTGTACAAATTTTTCTGTTATTTTTCCTCTCCTTATTACTTATGGTATATGATGTACCACATGCGCATGATGCTACTGATTCTAATTTGATCATTTAATCGATATAGTAAATAATAATTACAGAGCCGACCCCGCAATCATACGGGACAAAGGCCAAAGAAAAAGAAATAAATAATAATTACAGTAACTAGAATGAAACTAAAAAAAAAGTGAATACATGCCAAAAGCTAGTCAGCAATTACAGGAAGTGTTTGATTGCTGTAATAGCCAATAAAGGCTCTTCTATTGATTATTGAGAAGGGAATGAATAATTTTGGATGTGCTACTTTCTGTTCTAAATGTAAATAAAAACTAAGAAATATTTGTTTCCACAATGATGCTAACGGTCAAAAAAACTTGCTGGCTGAATAGTAACTTAGTTCAGGGATCATACACATTTTTACTACTACAATTCTAAGACTTTTCCAGAACTTTCAAGTACATTTTCATGATGTAATGTTTCATGTAATGTCTATTTATATACATGGTAAATAATAAGAAAAACAATGACATTCAAATTTATTACAGTATATCATAAAACACGCAACAATCTATTTTGTTTAAATTGTTTTATATCTATGTGAAATTGATTTTGATAATGCTTATACAGCACTAATAATGTGAAAGCATGTATTTGGCCATGAACAGAAAAGAAGTTAAGACAACTAACCTATATTCAAGTTAGGGTTGCACAATATATCGTTTAAGCACAGATATCGCAATGTGTGAATCCGCAATAGTCACATCACAGGATATGCAATGCTGGGATTATAGTTTAATATAGAGTTTAATCATAATGAAGTAAAAGTTTATCATCTGCATGCATTTTTAAAGACATAGTTCACCCAAAAATTACTTAGCATTTTCATTACACCCTTCATTCTTCATTGAATAACTCCTATTCTATTGATACAAGTGAAGTGTGAGTAAATAGTGAGTACGTTTTAATCTTTGAGTAAACTGTCCCTTTAAGGCCTGTGACTGTGTGAACATTTCAATATTTCAAGTTTTAAAACATCTGGCCAGAAGAAATGTTTTGTAACTTTAATAAAGATTAAATAATATACAATGAAGACTATGCAGTGTTGATTATTTAATATCTGTACCAGAATAGTGAATACCTGAAAACTATAATTCAATTTTATCTTTACTATATTTTATTTACCCATGCATGTAATTTATTCGTTACATATTATTCAAGATTCACTACTGTGCAAAATCACCCCAAATAAACCTGTTAAATCATCTGGTGAAATAGTATTCACATCGTAATATACATCACAGAAACACAAAATACCTTAATGTCAGATTTTTCCAATATAGTGCAGCCCTAAATCAAGCATACAGATATTTCTTCAACTAATTTCCATGATTTTTCTAAAATTTTGTGGGTTTTTCTGTTTTTCCAAAACTTTTCCAGGCCTGGAAAATGCCATGTCAAAATTCCATGACTTTTACAGGTTTTCCATGACTGTATGAACCCTGTTAGTTACTTAAATAGCAACTTCAAGTCAGAATTTGCCAGGGGTATGAATAATTTTGGCCTTGATGGTACATCTGACATCTGATTAATCGCCTAAAATATGCTTTAACATGTTTTTTTTTTCACATTTCACGAAGACATACATTTACATTTGTTATTTTAACAAACAGATGCATTTAGTCCTGTCCAGTTTCAACTGGAATGCGTCTCAGACCACCTCCTAAATGGTTTAAGCAATCAGATTTACATGCGTCTCGAATGCATTACGGAGAGGATTTACAACTGCCCTTTTCAGAATAGAATAGAAAAAAAATTGTAATCAGGTCTAAACAGCCCAGAGAGTACGATGGGTCTAAAATTTATACTCTTAAAAAATATTTTTTAAAAGACCATCGACACAAAATTACAATTAAAATACAAAATGAAAATTACAATGAGCAAAAACTGCTATAACTTATTGTTTTGAGCAAAATATCATCACTCATATAAGCGTATGACTGGTGCGTGTTCATTTATTCTGCTCCTAGTTAAGAACAAATTCCAGATAAACACTGGTGAAATGGCAGAACTTTTAAGAAAAGTGGGTAGGTTGGGTTTGAAAACAGATTTGTTTTGTGATTACTGTAGTTCCAGATTTGGTTAGTGAATGAGGCCCAAATAGAATCTGTGATTGAAATAATAAAAAGATGCTGTATATGGTAATAAGTGCTGTATAAGGGAGTGTTGTGGCAAAATATTTACTTTATTGACAATCAGATCTCACCCATATCTAATGTCTTTAAAAATATCAAGGCAATATATGCATCATAACTAGATTCAAAATCATAAGCAGATTCAGCTCTCGTCATCACTGAGAGAATAAGCGGCGCCAGGTGCTCCATTTAATTTGATAAAGCAAACATTTATTAAAGTAAAAAACTGCAAAAAAGAAAATAAATTAAACAGTAAATGAATTTAGAAATAAAGAAAAAAAATGTCACAGACAGTGACAGCAAACAGACTCACTTAAAACTCCTATATGCAGGGAAATAAAACACCTTTTCCTTGGTTTAACCAGTTAAACTCTGCTGTTATTTTGCAATTTCCACCTGGATTTTGCCTACCCAAATTTAAAAGCTTTCCAAATCCACGTGCAGAGGTGTAAATGCAAAAATTTGGTATCATATTAAAGAAAACCCTTGGAATTTACATAAAACACTATTGAAAGTGTTTAAAATATCTGTATTTGTTGTCTGTGTGATAATAAACACCTAAAAAAAGAGCTTTTGTACAGTAGACTAAAAACCAAAGTGATGCATATGTGCATAAAATATAGATTCTACACTTTCAAACAAAACCATTTACGGAGGTCTGGCCCTTTAAATCTTAAAGCGAATGTCGATGACGTCATGGAGTAGTAATCTAAATATTTGTAGCTCAACAAAAATGGCAACTTTAAACATCACAATGGTCGTCATGTGACTAAAAACTGAAAACTTTTTAAAACGCCATGAGTGTCTGTAAATGATGACAGAATGCTTTTTTTTTTTTGAGTGAATTATGGTAGACATGGAACATGGCGTATCTGACCTGTACATCCCAGTCTGTGATGTTTTTGAGCACATTCTGCAGCAGGAGGCTGAAGCTTCCAGTTGGTAGCAACTGAAAATGAGTCTCCAGTCCAATTCTGCACACCACCGCCAGTAGCAAGAGCAGCTCCTCATCTGTGTACGCTTTCGGACATAACGCAGTACACAGAGACAGGTACTGAACAAAAATACAGGCGTAAAGATTGATAACAATTCTGAATTTAATTATTCATTAAACAAAATAAAAATCTCCAGCCATGAATAAATGACAAAACATTCTTAAAATATATTCAGCTTACACTGAGAACACTCTCCAAGTTATGCACTGGTAAGGTGGCATCATCTTTTATTTCAGATATTGCACTATCTTGGCTGTTTTCCTCCGGCTTGAAGTCCTCTCTGTTGACACAAACAAATGCTTTGAAGATACAGAATTAACTAAATATCTGCAAGCAGCAATCAGCGGTGTTCTAGCACTTTAAGGACAAGCTCATTTATAAATTAGAAAGTTAAATCAATAATGAAAAAATTATTTTAGTAAGTGAAATGCCATAGAACAAAAGTATTATTGACCTGTTGAAATGTTATAGGTGGCGCTATAACATTGTAACCAGGTATCTGTTTAAATATCTGAAGTATTAGCTACAATAACATGGTATTCATGCAATAATTTATGATATACATTTTAGTATATCTGTCAAAACCCAATTTCTAAATTACCTAATATAGTAATCTAAAGAAAAATTTACATTTTTTTGAGAATGAGCCAACAAAATGGGACTAATTCACTTAAACAGTGTGTAATTTGGATTATTTAAATGATTTGGTGGAAGACAGTAGTTCCTGAGGCAAAGTTGTTCAGTTTGGAAAGGCTTAAATTATGATGTGCATGAGTGAAGCATTGTGCAACATCCAGTCTCTTACATACACACAGAATGCAATTTAGCACATCCCCGTGGCTGATTTCCTTAAAATTTCTTACAGACCTATAGTCAACAGGGTTTCTGCAAGTTTCTTTAGGTCAAATTTAAGACTTTTTAAGACACTTTTAAGGCCCTTATGAATTAAATTTTAGACTTATAAAGGGTTAAACACTGAGGATTTTTCTAATGGCACGTTTCTCCTAAAACTAAATAGTTTTTGTATTTTGTAGATCATGTACTGCTTTAGTTTTCTTACTCTGCTTAGAAAAGTTAATTAGGAGAGTTTGCTGTAAACATGTATGCTGTAAACATAGTGTACCTTTATTTCAATTGTACCATAAAAGGTACAGAACAGTATTATAAGAGGTCTTTCCAATACCTTATAATGTACGTTTACAAAGGTACAAAACTGCTCCTTAAGAGCCATTATTTGTACCACCGTGTACCTTTTTTTCTGAGAGTGTATAGGTTTCCCACTCTTTCATAAACAGCAGATTTAAGGACTTGCAAGGACCATTAATTTAAAATCATTTACATAAAATGCTGACGTTTCGAATGTCTTGTTTTGAAAGAAATGTAGATGGAAACCAACAGGTTCAAAGAACTTCAATAAAATTTGTTGAGTTCAAAACTGGTCATTTTCAAATGTGTTTTCTGAAATATTGATAAAATGAGCATTATGTGTCCTAATTATCGTACAAGATTTAAATGAAAGTTGTTAAAATTAAAAATGTCTTGGTTTTGTCATTCTGTTTTTGACAATGGTTGAAATAACACCAAAAACAAATTTCATTTCAAGTTTAATTCAAGCACTTCTAAGAACCTGTGTTTGTTTTTAAGTACTTTCCAGGCCTTGAATGCATGTGTCTAAAACTCAAGTACTTTTCAGTACTTTCAAGAAACGTTGAACATAATAAAATAACAAAAACCATAAAAGATAGAAAGATACATTTTTTAAAAAATAACTCACAAAAGGTCTCCTTCTGTAAAAGGGGGCTGCAGGACATCCAGTGGGAAAAGACTGATGAACGATGCCCCCATATTCAGAAAAACCTGAGTGATGTCCCGTATTGAGGGAACCCAGACTGTAAAACTTTGGCTCTTGTGCTCAACTACAACACAACAGTTAATTTTAGTACATAATCAGTTAAACATCCTGTTTTTAGTATACAATCAGTTATGAAGATTTACCTATGTGCTGAGCAGCAGAAAGAGCGATAGTGTGCAGGGACTGCATGATCCGTGAGGAAATGATGGGGTTTGGGTGAACTGATGTCATCTGAAAAAAAAAAAAAAATAGAGTAATTAGTTATACCTAAAATTCAGGCAGATAATTTCACGCTCTGTTAAAGTGCCAGTTGTTATTAATTAAGGAAACTATTGAATAATTGAATTGATTTTGGCTTTTGGACAACACAAAGCACAAAAGTTCTCAAGAAAGTAAGCCGACTGTTATAAATGCGTTTTGACAGGTTTAACTGAAAATGTCCCGAGGGTGTGCAGGTTTCCCATGAGAGAAAATAAAAGACGACGTCAACAACATGCAACAAAGCCAATTTTAAAACCTAAATCAAATGAATATCACTGGAACAGCATTTCCTACGACCTAATAACAAATAATAAAATTATAATTTTGTCACGATTTACAGAAGACAATGACTACGTTTACATGGACATCAGTAATCAAATTATTTGCCTTAATCTAAATGAGACAATAAATGATTAATGTGTTTACATGAGTTGCTTTTTGAATGTTCCTTTCATGATCCCATTTCACAAGTTATAGCACATAGATCGATTAATGTGATAGCGTCACAGTGCTCCCCAACGTTTCCTCCAGAGTTTCATGTAATTTCAGGTGTTTCATTTTTAACTGCAGTTCAGGAACATTTTATTCATGCAACCCTGACCAGTGGCGGTTCTAGTTTGAAAGGCACCCTGGACAACCCTCCATATACACCGCCCTTGAAAATAGAATGTGTTTGGAATGTAAACATACTCAGTGACTAAAATGTAAGTACACCAATTAAATATACTGTATTAATAAATAAGTTCAACACATTTTGTCTAAGCTAAACCTTATTGTATCTTTACAGTAACTGTGTAATGGAAAACAATGTGTTATTATGCAGCTAATTCCATATCCAAGAAAACAGTAAAGCACCGGTCAGATCACACAACCTTTATTGTCGGTTACGAAAGTCACTATGTAAGATTATGCGATTTTTTCTTGATAAAATCTTGACTTGTGGGTAACAAATGCGCCATACTACACGTTCCTTCACAGTCAGTCATCCTGTGACTTCTACGATGAGCGTTATTTCCCAGTCACAAGTGTTGCTAACACCAACAATATTTCTTATTTTAAATAAAAAAAAAATGTATCAGTCAATAAACACTCAATAAACACTAATAACCACATTATTTTAGGGCATTCCTTACAACATTGGAAGGATCAAACTTATATTTCCTTTTAAATATTAAGATATTTTCTTTTAAATCTAAATGTATATTTTCGTGCCAGGTTTGCTTAAACACTCCCACATCTGAATTTGCCGCAAGGGACACAGAGAAAAAAAAGCACAAGCAGCAAAGAAAAATCAGATGCTCAAAAAATAATCTTTAAAATAATGACATATTTAAAAAAAAGCAAATATATGACAGAGGTTTGTAATAAAATAATCACAGTGAAGCATTAATTAAATCCTTTTTTTCCACAGAGAGAAACAAATCCTGTACCTGTATAGTTGAGTAGTAGAGGGACACAAATAAAAATATAAATTATATATTTTTCTTGGAAAAAAACATCTTTTTGAAATAAATTTCGGTGACTATAATTTGTGTTTTAATTTAAATGTATCTCTTGTTGGTCATTTACTATAAACAAGAATAACGAATATCATTTGAGGTGAAGCGCTACAAAACAAGCCTCTATATGCGCCAAAACATGAATTGCCGTGAGATTGTGTTTACTTGTTACATAAAATAATAATCCATCCTAAATAAAATTAAAGTGAAACATTCAGTTTCAGAAAAACCTATATTAAACTGTTTTCACTATTAATGACAAAATTGAATAAGCAGGAAATGCTCTTGTGACGTATTCGCAGCACTGAGCATGTTCCCAGAACAAACTTTGTTGGAGTGATGAGAGAAACTCATTGTTAGAATAGAGATGTCTGCTTATTTGTGCCAATCTGTCAGATAAAATTGCTTAAAACACCTTAATATGTAAGAAAAGGTAGCTAACAAAGTAGTAAAAGTTTGCATAACCAATTATTGATCTTATCCACACGTGACGTGACCCTACCATAAATAAATATGCAGCCTTTTTTTTAATTACTTGATTGGTGCATTAACGGCAGCACCCGCTGAGAAAACCGAGAAATGATGTGCTCCTATTGCAGTGTCACCCATGTGACAGAACTCGTTGTAAAGAACGAGAAAAAAACTAAACACGGAAGACCTTCTGCGATAGTTGTTATGAACTATGCAACATTACACAAGAAAAAAGGTTTTGAATCACAACGCCCATTTGTCGTTTAAAAATCCCCAAAACAACCTACATCAACGAAATCATGCCAAATTTGTGTGATCCGATCAGGGGCATACGGCTTTTTCAACTAAAATCTAACATTTATTTGAAAACACCAGGAAAACGAATACATTTATAATTTGGAATTTTTTATTTTTATTTTATAAGTTTATTTTAAATATGGTAAAAGGTCAGGACCATTACACTGAATGACAATCTTCCAGTCTGGACAAATAATTCACCTATATTATTTTAACATTTTATCACAGACGTTTTCTGAAACAAAACATCTATTTTTCTTGCATTGTATATAAAACCACTTTAGTGAATATAATTTGTTGCAGAAAATAATTTACCCTTGAACTATAGAACACAAAAATGCTAGTTGATTAGATTTACAAGACAAGCATGAGACAAAACAAACTGGCCAAAAGTGCGAACTGCATTAGATTATAAAATATCAAAATAGCATTAATATATTTTTAGACATAGTTTAGACCAAGTTCAAATATTTTTGATGCCGCTATATATACTTCAGTCATTGACATGAGCAATACGTGCTTTTAAGGACAAAAAAAAACCATGAGAAAAGTGGCTGGTATTACCTGAAAAAGCCAACGTGTAACCTCAGGCTGACATGGAAAAGAAAAGTAGGCTTTCCTCAACAAGCCAGCACTGATCAGAGAGAGCACATGCTCAGAGCGGGCCCTACAGAGGAGGAAACAAAACAATCCTTTTACAAACAGCACTTCAGACTCTTTCATTTTATTCTGCTTTCATGTGAAGACTAACAAAAACCACAAGCACAACTGCAAACAAACATAACACAACTGATGCATTCAATGAAACACTAGCTTTCATAATTTGTGGTTAGTAATGACGGCAAATAACAGACAGATCTCTTCTAGAACTAAAATCATGCTACAGAAGGTTTATAGTAATTTCTACATTTTAACACACATTTGTTTTTAGCAAAAAAAAAAAAAAAAAAGCAAATATGACTTGTGTGTATGATTGCAAAGGGGCGGAAAATTTCCAGAAAATTTCTGGAAAATTATCATGGAAACTTTGGAATTTTAGAAATGTTCCAAATTTTATGGCAATTTATGTCAATTATTTATAAATCTACAGGAATTTATATAAACTGTATATACAAACTTAACGATATACAATTTGTTCATAAGCTGATATGCACACAAACTAATGCATATTAAAAAAGACATTTTGTGGCTGATTTAATTGTAAATGGAGCTTTAATTGTCACACTGAGCAACACAAAACATAAGTGTTGAATGCAAGAAAACATTCCCTTTTGTTTATTGTAAAATGAACAAATTCCCCAAATAATATCAGACTTACTTGAATTGATGCGGTATTGGTTTCGAATGCAGAAATGTGGCTTTAATATTCTCGTGATATTCAGAACCAGAAAAATGGGGAGTGGGGGGTTCTCCCTTAAGTGTGTCCACACCTAGATTTTTGTTTCGGAACCTGACGCGTTTCCCCAGTTAGCGCGGTTCGTTTGGCATATGTGAATCCAGCAATCGCGCTCGAATCCACACCAAAGCAATCGGTCCAAGATTGCCTAAATGAGGTGGTCTCGACTTGAATGAAATAAACTCTGGAGCGGATCAATTGTAGTATAAGAAAACAAAACGATCTAATGAACTAGGCCATATCACAGTGCATTCTGGATATGTAAATGTCATATATTCGGCTCTATGAATTGAGAATTACGAGTATGGTTGGATGTCATTATTCCCACCAGTAAATGTTTGTTTCATGTCAAATGTGAAAGTGAAAGCCTGCAGAATTATTACCGAGCTGTTTATCCGTTAGGAAAATAGACCAAACTGCAGTCTTGGTTTATCTGTTATTTCTCTCTATAATGTAAAGTTTATAATGCATAATTCTTGCCAATAGCTATGTGTGATAAAGTCTTACCTCTGATTTATATTTGGTGATGATGTCTTTGGTTGTCACCATTCAAAATTAAAGCACAGCTTTTCACTTAATGTCTTATTAATCATTGCCATAAATTAAATTAGGAACGAAGGACAGTTGAGCAAGACTCTGCAAAATAAACTCTGAAACTCTGACCAATGTGACGAAAGTTCTCACGTACTCGCATATGACTTGTTTTAGCTATTTTGGTTCGATTAGAAACTTTGTCATGTAAAAGCGAAACACAGCCTAATGTTTGCTCAGTCAGTGTATTTGTTTATTTACGATAAGCAATAGCTTACAGCACAAGTAGGCTTTGTGCTTAAAAAATAAATGCAGGTAATTTAAATGGACTTTTTAAAAATCATTTTGTTTGCAGGATTCAAAAGATATTGGTGCATGCAGTGCTTTGTGCATGCGAGTTTGTAGAGAATTACTTTTAAGCTGGTTGTTTTTACCAATATTATGCAGTAAGAGATTTTATCAATTCAAATGATGAACCCTGTAAATAGGCTAACCTTCAATCTACCAAAGTCACAGTTTATTCCCATGAAATCCCCTTACTTTCCATGAAAAGTTTCCAGTCTTTAAAATTCCCAGAATTTTACAAGCCTACGTGTGTCACGTTAGTGCTTACTGAAGGAGGATTTGCTGTGATCTGTTGTGCGGCGTCACGCTAATCTTCCTCAGGTCCAACGTCTGGTGGTTGAAGAGTTGACCAAACTTAGCAGGTGTGAATATTTCTTCTCCTGGATGGATGTCCCTGATTGCACATGAGGTCACCGAGAACCTTTGCAAAATTTCCCTAAAAATAACACAGGATAAATAATAAACTTCGAAAAGGCTAACAATATTCAAAGATGAAGCAGCATACAGTGCTCAGCATAATTGAGTAAACCCTAAAAAAATGATTATTTTTATGAATTTCTCAGTGAATATAGGCAATGTATTTTGGTGCATTTAAACAAAACAGATTTATTAAACAGATTTATTTATTAAATTAATATTTTATTCACCAAACAAATTCAGAAATTGAAAGATATATATATATATTTTTCTATAACATATAAATTTGGGCATACTACTCTTTGGACCGTTATTGTAAGTGTTTTGTTAGATAAGCTCCAGATTTGGCTTCAGTACTGACTAATCTAATGTATATGCACAAATATAATATTGTAGGAATGAGCCGATACCACTTTTTTAAAAACCAAGTGAGTGCGAGTATTTTAATTTGTGTACTTGCTGATACTGAGTACCGATTCCGACACTTCTTAGATTTGGTTTCAATAAAAGTGCAATTAATTTTGAAAAAAGGTTTTAATTTTTGCCTGTAGCAGGGCTGAACACCAAAATCTTTAACAGAAGGCTATTCTAAGCAAAAAATATACACACATTGTTGACAACCTTGTATGGATTACCATCCATGTCCATGGATTACCAGCATGGACATTTAAAGAGAAATGCCCACGCCATCTACAGTATGTAGTAGCAAAAAGTATGTGAGAGCCCAATGCAGGAATGCATTAAAGCGATGCAGTTAAAAACCAACACATTACTCTTAACCCTAACCCCCAGTAATAACAACAACACACATTCAGTATTAATCTACACAGTGGCAAAAGTTGAACTATTTTGAAAATTGACTGTGCCGCGCATGTGAAGAACAGCTAATGGTGGCCATAGCAAAGACAAACAGCAGAGTTCAGACCGCCAGTTCAGACACGGATTTAAAATCAGTAAAGAAAGAAGCATGGTCACGTTTTTAGCGTAGTTTTCCCTGATACAGATTTTGGCACCATACAGATTTAACCTGAGAGATAAAGTACAAGCACTGATCTATGATAGATTTGTGAATACAGACCGTGTGGGGCGATTACAACTTATAACACACAATTAAACACATATTTTGCAAACAATTTTAATTACACTTGCATGCTATGATCCAGAGGAAGAAGAAACTGGTCCATTTGAACCGTAAAGGTTACTGATAAAGTCCCTGTAAAAGTCTGACAAAGTCCCATAGTCTCTGCTGCTCCTTTGTAGCGTAGGTTATTGTATCAATGGTCAGAAAAATGACAGGAACAAACACAGCACTAGGTCGGCTATACTGTGGCATTGTTGTGAAAATGAACTTTAACATTTATTCCCTGCAGCCGAATCTCTATCTGTCAGTGATCGTCATCTTTGCGTCATGATCAGTCCCGTGATCCCCTGCGCTTTGCTAGTGTCTGAATTGAAAGGGTGTTCACATTTTACTCCAACTAGAACTACATATTTGGTGATGTACCGTATCGACGTCGATGCAATCAAACAAAAGATATAAACCCAACTCGATTCATTTATTCCACTCTGAGTCAACTATTTTGCTAAAGAATTAATAGTTTTAAACATGCTGCACTTTTAGATTTAAACCTCATGTGGATGTTTTCATTCACTTAGAGCTGTTACACACTGTGTGGAAGGTCAAAAACCCATGATAGGGGCTCTTTAAAAGATAAGTTATCCTTGCGCTGACACACGTCCACGACTGCACACATTACATAATCAAGGATCATATTGCATATGTGGTTCATTCTTCAGTGGCCTATAGATTAGTTAATTATGTATTTTATGTATGCTTTGTTTATAACAACTAAGATATTAATATATAATACATTAATTAATACATTAAGACAACGATGTCAGGTAGAACAACAAATCACATGCATGTAGTGAAATTTTGTTGAGTGATATTGGTGCGTAGTATCGGCGTTTCATGTACGATACGAGTACAAGTGTTTTAACCAAGTATCGACCCGATACTGGTATTGGTGCATCCCTATAATATTTTATAGCTTAACCACTTAAACTCTGCAGCTATTTAGGGATTTCCGCCTGGATTTTGCCTACCCAAATTTAAAAGCTTCCTAAATCCACATAAAGAGGGGTAAATGCAGAAATTTGGTATCATTTTTAATAAAAACCTTTGAATTTTCATAAAACACAATTGAAAGTGTTTAAAATAACTGTATATGTCGTCTGTGTTATATTAAACACCTAAATAAAGAGGCGCTTTTTGTATTTTTTTTATAAACTCAAATTCGAAAGTGCACCTTTTAGGTTCTGTGTGGTCTAGCGTGCTGTAATTAATTTTAGCGGTTCCTGCACATGTCTGTAATCATAGGAAAAAAGAAAAATGTCTCTACCATAATCTATGCAAAAGTTACTGTATTCCAACTGATGAGAGGTGCTATACAAGCCACAGAGACCGATCATTGTCTTATTCTTTTGTTTGATCAAACATAATTCACTGTGTTTGGACCACATCAGGCATATAAAAGGATTACTTATGCACATCACCTCAAAAACAGAGGAGAATGGCCCTGAAGGGCACAGCATAAGGTAAGAGATGACAGCTGTCTGTGCTATCTGGGGCTGCTTATTGATCATGAATGTATTGTTTACATTTCTGCGCCATGGAAACACCACAATTCATTCAACAACTGTTTGACATATGAATATAATTCAGTAAAAAGAATGCTAGAACTGTATGAGCACCGGCAAGAGCTTTCATTTGAGCTATAACTTGTACATGTGTCATATAAAAAAATATGAAAATGAACCAATGTAAAATACCTAGATCGGGTATCCAAAATACTGTGTATTTAAGTGTAAATAACTTTTATACAGTAGAATAAAAACCAAAGTGATGCAAATGTGCATAACATATAGATTCTACACTTTCAAACGACACCTGGTGCAAAGCTAGCCCTTTAAATCTGAAAGCGAAAGTTGATGAAGTCATGGACCCGGTACCGGGTCCGCAGAGTTTAAGTGGTTAAAATTTTTTTATCAAAAATATGAACTAAAAATAAAGATTTGTTCAGAGATGGGTTGCAGCTGGAAGGGCATCCACTGCGTAAAACATGTGCTGGATAAGTTGGCGGTTCATTCTGCTGTGGCGACCCTAGATTAATAAAGGGACTAAGCCGAAAAGAAAATGAATGAATAAAGACAGACTTGTGAAGGGTGTACTTGTATATACTCAACAATGTATATGCAAAGCACATTCACACATAAATATTTTACAACATTTTTGCACATATTAAATCATTTTTGCTCTTAGTCATTACTAAAGGCCAAATTCTGAGAATGTTGTTGAATTAACTGCATTTTACTGCAAAGAATGTTAATAAAGGCAGATATTTAAGATATGAGTAACATACCTGTGTTCAAGAGAGATGTCCTCCCCTTTACTTTCACTGTTCTCATCCTCATCTAAATTCATCAGATCCTCTTCACACGACTCAAGTAACTGTCTCTCCAACTCTTTTGACCTGGGCATGAAAATAAAAAACAATGTGAATCAAATAATTAGACCAGCAAAATGTAAAACTGTTGTCAAATTTGACCAATGTGTTGGCTAAACGCAGCACTTCCATTTCAACAAATTCGGCACAATCGCACATCTGTGAGAATATTAGTGTAAATAAAGGACTTTGGGAAATTTTACAGTCCCAAATAGGCTTGGGCGGTAATACAGTGATATGGTATACCGCCGGAACTAAAAAAAAGCAACGGTGTCAGTTTTAATACCGTTATACCGTGATAAAAACAATGCACTTAAATAGGAGACAAGTATTAAATATTATTTATTTAATGCCTACAAATGCGTTTGCGTGATTGTCATAATGGGAAAGTGTGGAGGAGAGAGAGAGAGAAGTGAGGTAAGATGGCGAGTCGTGCACCAAGTGACCTGAAGTGTGTGTGTGTAAATAAGAGAGCATGCTGTCTGTGTGTCACTTGGTGCTCTCTCTCTCTCTATGTGTGTGTGTGTGAATGAGAGAGAGAGAGAGAGAGACACACACAAACTGCATCCACGTGGATGCGCGCGTGCTCGCTTGCTCGGGAGCGATATTGTTAGACCGCGCGACCCCTCCCTTTCAAGTTACAGACCGCTCCCTCGCTTTATTCGGAAACACACACACACAGAGAGAGAGAGAGAGACAGAGAGAGAGAGCATGGTGCTGTGCGTCTCTCTCTCTCTCGCTCTGTGTGTGTGTGTGTGAGAGTGAGAGAGTGAGAGAGAGAGCGTGGTGCTGTGCGTCTTTCTCGCGCTCAGTGTGTGTGTGTCCCACGCTGATCTCTAATACGAAAAAGACAATAAGGTGACCGCGAACCTAAGGTCGCATATACGGTAGTCAGTTTCTGAATGATTTCAGTTTGTGATGCTGTCTGAGACTTACGTCATAATTTTTTTATTATGCACAGTAATACCTGATACCGGGGTAAAATAGGGAGGAAGTTTGACGGTATCAGAATTTGGACTGTTACTCTGAGCCCAAGTGGCTGACATCATCTAAACACTTTTTAAAATTATTATTTTAATAATTATATATTAATCATTATTTTTAATTTATATTTTAATCAAAATAAAATTTAAAACTGACTTTAAAGCAGATTTGTCAAATGTAGTCACATTCACAATTTAAAATTATAACATAAAATAAAGCTGATATTAAAATATTCAATGCAATTAATCTTTATTTCTAAAGCGCTTTTAAAATGTGGATTATGTCAAAGCAGCTTAACATAGAAGTTTAATTAAATTGAGCCTGTGTCAGTCCAGTTTTCAGAGTAGAAGTTCAGTGTGTTTGTTTTTTTTACATGTTTTTCACAACTATTTTATTTATTTTTTTTAGGGCAACAGCATCTTCAGCAAAAAAGGAACTTCTACTTCAAAAGCTACTGGTCCATAATATTTTAAGTGTTTCATAAAATAAAATATATTGTGTTCAATGGGGGAAAAAGTTGTTGTTTTTACCCAGACATTTAAAAAGAATTTTATTTTAGAGCAGTAATCACAATACCATGATACTATGAAACCAATATATTTTTATCCAAGGTTATCATACCATCTTATTCCCGGCCCATGCCTAGTCTCAAGAGGTTTTGTTTTCCGCATTGTTCAGAGAAAAACTGTGGTGATAAATTTAAATTATTTTAGTTTGTTTGCTTGCATTGTTAATTGTTTTACACAACAGCAAAAGACGGCTATTCACTTTCAGAAGTTGCAGTGATGCCTCTTTTCCCTGAAATAATAATACCAAACATGTTGATTATAAAATGTTTTTAAATAATGTATTGCATATCAAATATCATACTATTTAAATATTGCATTTTTCCTTTAATATCAAATTGATTAAAGGAAATATAATAATCACCTTTAATCAGAGGCACACCTCTCTCTTTAACAAGCCACAAAGACTATTATTTCTATATACTATAATCCATAAAGTTCTGCATGTTTAATACTTTAAAATTATTTTAAAAGTCTCTAATCCTAAATAAAGACATGTAATTACTGATTGAATGGATTAGCACAAAAAAAAGTTTTATTTTGTGATGAATTGCTCACCCACACATCGCTCCGAACCCATGACACTTTCTTTCATCTTCAAAACACAAATGAACATATTAATTTAATGAAACCAATCCCTCCCCTGAAAGTCCATTCTAATAATCATTTGATGCTTGAAATGGTTAATAAAGGGTTTGTAAAAGAAATCCACATTAAGCCAGCACACAATACAGTGCTCAGCATAGATGAGTACACCCCCCACAAATCTCTCATTTAAACGAATATTTTCTATAAGATGCTTTACAATATTATATTTGTGCATATACATTAGTTTAGTCAGTAGTGTAGCCAAATCTAGAGCTTATCTAACCAAATAACTTACGACAATAGTTCAAAAATTAGTAGCCTAAATTTAAATGTTAGGGGAAATTTTTTAATACAATTTTTAAAAATAGCAAAAATCAAGAGAAACAAAAACAATTAAAAATTAAATATTGTTGAAATGTTGTAGGTTTGCAATATTTTGCATGAATTTAATTGAATTACTTTTCCATTTTTAAAGATGTTCTGTGACTAAAATATAATTTTTAACAAATATATCTGTTTAATATTGTTTGTTCAAATGCACCACTATATCTTATACATATTCACTCAGAAATTGATCAAATATTAATTTTAAACAGGGGTATACTCATTTATTCTGAGCACTATATTGACCTTATTCTGTGATGCAATCACAAAAACAAGTGCACTTGCGCTTTAGAACATCCGATTGAGTTGCCTATGGGAGAAATGACTAGGAATAATAAATGCCAGAAAACGATCTAACTACTTGCTCTACAAACAAGTGTTTGCATGACTATATAGATAAAGTAGAATAATAAACTAAGAACATGTCAGTTTGCAACGTCAAGCAGCAGAACGAGCTGTTTTAACGTCTAAAAATGAATGGAAGTGAGTAAGATCGGAAGTCTCAAGCCAAAAAGATTACAATGGCTGCCCCCATTCGTATGTAAAGAATAAGGTCAATAGAGAACAAATGTAAAATATTCTTGCATCACACGATACAAAAAATGAGATTTATCCTCATGCATTAACCAAATATGGCTTCATTTTACCATTTTTAATGAACTTTGAGAACTATCACAATTTTGGCTTGAAGCATGTTTAATGGAGGAATTGAATTCTCTCAGGCTACATAAATCTTTATTTATGTTTCACAGATGTGTGAAAATCATGGGTAGGCCCACACGAAATCTGCACGCCCTGATTTCCACCGATTTTTAGCCCATCATTGATTCTGTTTATTTACTTGTGTAAATGTGTGTAAATTTATATTTATTCAGTTTTTAATTTAATTTCAGTTATATTTTTGAGTAATATGACAATATTCATATGATTTATTTACAGTCTTTTAGTGGATATATTATATAAGAGACTTGCTTTGTTTACCAAATAAGTGGCTCTAATTGGGTTTGCATTGTAAACATAAATAAAAGTTAAGAAAGGTTTTACTTCACATTCCATATATTAAGGTTTTAGTTAAGATTCTCCCAAAATCATTTCACATTAATCCGCAATTTTTAAACAAAATTTCCACGCAAAAATAGCTAAAAATGTCTGCAGATTCCGTCTGGCTCTAGTCATGGGTTTGGATTGACACGTAATAAGACCATTCTCATTTTAACAGCAATATTTTCTTTTGTAAACACCACTAATAATATCTGTGAACTAGGTGGTTTTTGACACCTCAATCACTAAAATCCAAAGCACTAAAGCAACCTATTGATTGCCACAAAGAAAGTACAAAAAAAAGTACAAAGAAAAGAAAGTACAAAGAAAGACACAAGAGCAATGAAGTTGGAGGGGGGAAAAAAGACCAACCTCTGATATTGCTCCTTTTCTTGCAGCATCTGCTCCAGTGTATTTCTATAACTAGTGGCTTTGGTTTTCACTGCCTCTGGCTAATACAGATGAAAAAAAAAAAACAGAAACATAGGTGTTTGTGCACGCAAGAAGATCAGGCATGTCAAAAACTGATTAATGACAAATTATGTGTTTTCCTAAACTTTCTATAGACTTACTACTGCTTTTAGGACTGGCGTGTTGGGCTCTGAGTAAGCATCTTTTTCTGGTGTAACTGGCACACGCACAGTCCAATCCAGGATCTCCTTGAGGGACGGCAGCTGTTCATCTTCATGACTGCTGCTGCTGCTGCTCAGGCTGATAACACAATGTTCTCTCAGCTCATCGTCCCAATCATCTCCCAGCTCAATATCTAAGGGATCTTTCCACTGGGGGAAGCACTTGTGTTCTCCTGATCCTTCTACTTTCACCGTCACAGCTGGGATGGCCTCGGGGCTGCGTGACTGCTCCGCTTTCATCGGCGCTCTTTCATCCAGTTCCATCTTACATGAGCTGGCTTGCTCCGTAAAGCTGGTTGAACTCAGATCATGCTGATGGGGGGATGAGCGACCGGTAACACTCTCTTTATAGTGAGATGAAGAGCTGGTGTTTGTGGAGAGAGCAATTATTTCCGTTTCTCCGTTTGTTTTTTTGCTCATTTTGGCCACTGATGCACAGTTATCTGGAGTAAAGTGTGTCTCAATGCTATCGAACGTCATGCTGGACTTTGGAGAGACTTTGCGCAAATGTGGTTGACTAGGAGGAGCTTTGGGGTTTTTGTTGGCACGTGCCACCATAGCATCTTTAGGCTCTGCGTTTGTGGGAGATTTAGTGGTTTGGGATGAGTGAGCGTTCGAGTCTGCACAAAACAGCTGCCTGGGGAGGGAGGATGACAGTTTTGGCTTGTTATCAGATATTGAAGGTTTTATAGGGGAATTTGTCTCCTTTATGGTTATAACGGACTCATTGCAGGACTTCAGGAAAGCACGTCTGATAAACTTTGGAGGCGAGTTCAATATAGAAGAGCTGGAGGTGGCTTGAATATCAACACGTGGCCGTTTTGTTTCCCTCTCACTCCCTGTGCTGGCTTCGCTTTTTCTCTTTGCAGATAAGGACAGTCTGCCCTCTGTTGGCAAAAATGGGTATTTGACATAGATAGAGAGCTAGATTAGTTTTAGAATGGCAAAAAAAGCAGAATCAGGGATGATTAATATGATAACTATTTTTACCTGGACTAGTCATCGTGTTCAAGTTGTTCAACTCCTATAAAACATCCAATAAAAAGAGTAGAAATCTTGTTTTTTTTAAGGTTTCATGATAACATTTCATTAAAACGAGTTTCAACTGAACTTTACCTTCTTTATGGATGTTTTATGATCTCTATTATCCATTCTGTCTTTTTTCTGATTGGGGTTGTGGGTGAATTGCCCGGATGAGTTCCTCGGTCTCTGCTGGAATAAGAGTGAATTGCGCCTCTCAGGACTTCGTCTGTGAGATGAGTGAGGAAGAGTGTGTCTCCGAGCTTTCACAGCACTTTCTGACTGAAACAGACCTCCTCTAACCTGTACACAGGGAACATGGATTAGCGAGTGCTGGTTCCAGTAAGCAGACACCAGTTCAAATTTAAAGTACTGTATAACAATTATAACTACCGCAAGAAAAATCAGATTGACAGTTTCTAATTTCCTGTTTTCTAGGCATTTCTAGTCTTTTTAGTAGGCCCACACATTTACCTACCCCCAATAGGAAAAACCACAAACAATCAGGAATGCATGATTTTATCCTGTCATGGCTTAAAAAAAAAAAAAAAAGGCATTATAATGGAAGTCAATGGGGCTAAAACTGCCATAAATATAACAAAACGGTAGTCAATTTGAACAGTATACAAGGAGTAAATAAAAGTTGAAAAGGTATTATTATTATTAATATTATCATTATACATGTTTTAAGAGTTACTTTAGTTACTATACAATACTCCCAAAATCAGTCTGCAAAATCTGCAGATTATAAAGTTCATTCATTCATTCGTTTTCTTGTCGGCTTAGTCCCTTTATGGGCCAACTTATCCAGCAAGTTTTTACACAGCCGATGCCCTTCCAGCCGCAACCCATCTCTGGGATGACATCCACACATACACACACACACACACACTACGGACAATTTAGCCTACCCAATTCACCTGTACCGCATGTCTTTGGACTGTGGGGGAAACCGGAGTACCCGGAGGAAACCCACGCGAACGCAGGGAGAACATGCAAACTCCACACAGAAACGCCAACTGAGCCGAGGATCGAACCAGCGACCCAGCGACCTTCTTGCTGTGAGGCGAACGTGCTACCCACTGCGTCGCCCCAAATTACAAAATTATATTCAGAAATAGCTAAATATGTCAGCATCTAAAATATGTGTTTAATTGCGTGTCGTAACTTGTAATCACTCCGCGCGGCTTGTAATCACGTATCTATTATAGATCAGTGCTTGTACTGTCTTTCTCAGGTTACATTTTCATGGGGCTATTCACATAAAGCCTTCAATATTTCGTTGAAAACGCAACGTGTGCTTCTTCCTTTAGGTGATTTAAAAGAGTTTCTGAACTTGCGATACTTTGCCATTTGCCTTCACTATGACCATCATCTTTTCCTCCACGGTCAATTTTTTAAAATTATTTAACCTTTGCCACTGCGTGGATTAATACTGAATGTGTGTCATTGTTATTACTTGAGGTTAGAGTTAAGAGTAGAGTAATATGCTGGTGTTTAACGCTATTGCTTTATTGCATTCCTGCATTGGGCTCTCATCACACTCTGTGCTACTTCATAACCATGGTGGGCATTTTTTTTCTCTCTGTCTCAGACTGAACCCAGTCAACCAATCACAAAACACTGGGTCATCAGACCAATCATCACAGATTAAAATCACACTAAGGAGGGGTTTGGGAACAAATGAACCACTGAACGAATCGTTGAGATAATTAAATTAGGTAAAAATAATTGCATATTATAAGACAATGAAAGTGTTTTTTGGCCTTGCCTGCATATCAGCCTGTAGTTGGAGTCTCCCAAAACCAAAATATGACCTTTTATAATGAAAAATAAAGGGTTTTAAATTGCTTCAATTCACTTAAAAGGACAGTTTGCCCAAAACTGAAAATTCTATTATTATTTAGTCACAATCTTTTATATAAGTTTGCATGCAATACTATGTCTTGTTTTTCATTATTTAATCAACCTTTATGTGATTTTGTTCTGTTAAACACAAAAAAAGATATTTAAAAAAAAATTTGGAAAAAAAACTTAACTACTGATTTCCATAGTATTTGTTTTTCTTATTATAGATGTCAATGGTTACAGCTTTTCAGGATTCTTCACAACATATTCTCATAAAGTTTGGAACAAATCAAGGGTGAGTAAATAATGAGTACATTTTCATTTTTGGGTGAACTATCCCTTTAAATCACAGTTTCTCGCTTTTAAATTCTACATAAGCTACCTAATTTTCCAATATATTAAAGTCATAGCCATTTTAAATTTGACATTTTATTCTCTATTTATATACAGCTCTATTTTCAACTATATCTTGCTATTGCATAAAATAAAATGATCCAATTACACAAAGGAGTTCAACTGACAAGATTTAGAAATCTGGGTTGTTTTAAACTACATTAGAAAGAAAAATGAGTTGCATTTACCCTCAAGTTTTCATTCAGCTCCTTACAGAGAGCATAAGAAATGTCTCTGTTTCTGTTGTAAGAACTGGACTTTTGCAGGAGATTCTTTTTATCCATGGAAGATAGAGAGCAGTTGTTTCTGGGGTTGATGTTGCCATTGTTTGGCTGTAGTCTTTTTACAACAACTGTAGAATTCATAAAACTGTCCTGTTCTGTCCTTGAGCTTTTATGGGAGGTTTTGTGTGTGAATGAAGTGGACTCAGAGCCCTTGCTGGACACAATGCTTTTAGGCAGTGAGCTTGAAACATCCGGAATCTTCTCAGAGGGGTCAAGAAATGGACGACCTGGCACAGGATGTGATGTGGCATCTAAATTGTGCCGTGGTGTACCTAGTGGAATAATTTCTTTCACTAAAAAAAAGAAAAAAAGACACGGTCATATTTTCAGACAATAAACTAAAATGCAACACTCACATCATCACGGCTACTCCATAACCTTACAAACCTGATTGAAATGACAGTGCTTAAGGATTATTAAGATTATTAGCTGACACAAATAAGACTGACATGCAAATCTGACAGATTGTTAACATAATGATTTGGCTGGAATACACTGCACGACTCTGTACAGATTTCCATCACATTTGCAGTCTAAAGGAGCTGATGATAGAGCAATTACATTCAAATTCCAACCTTGCCATGAAAATAAAGTATTCACAAAAAAAAGTTTTGTGTAGTAAAACAAAGTTTTTTGTGTAAGCTTGAATTTTACAGTCCTGTAAAAATACTTTAAAATGTCTCTGTCAATGTTTTCAAACATTTATATTTGATTTACTAAAGTTACACAAGTGGCAATTTCACATCAGTCACATCCATAATAGAGCTGAACAATACATAGTTTGAGCATCAATACCACAATGTTTATATCCGCAGTAGTCACATTGCAGGATTAGATTATTTATTAAAGATTAAAAGATAAAGATATATTATTACTTTTTTACTTGGAAACTGTTACATTCCCCAGAAAACCATAAACACTGTTTATATTACTTTTATTCTATATGCTTCTAATTTATTATAATTTATGCAGATCCACTGCAAAGAAAACAGTTGATCTAATTTAATAAAATCTTCTCAAATAGAGGTATTCAAATCATCTGGTGAGATTATATTCAAATTGCAATATATATTGCAGCTCAACAAAATATCGCAATGTTGGATTTTTACAATATCGTGCAGACCTAGTAAAACTTTTTCCTCATAAATGCAAAAATATAAAATAAAATAAAAAAAATTTTGTTCTATAGTGAGCAAACTCTTATCCTTTGATTAGCATTATTTCTTTTGGGTTGTGTGGTTTAATTCGTACAAAGTATGCTGTATATTAAACTTATAACAACTTTTTTTGGTCACATCAATAACGCATGTTTATTTCCCTTATTTAAATTCTAAAAATATTTACAGGTTGATATTTTTCTGACCCCATAACTTTGCGGTCAGTTGTTCTGGAAAATGGAAACAGATGTTTCAATATATTGTTAACGTAAACTTTCTATGTGAATTTATGTTTTAGAGTTTTTACTCCAAATGTCACATCCATAACGCTGGAATTGCTCATCTGCACATTTTGCAAAATTGCGTAGTGTTCAATGAAAACAATCAAGGTTTAATTGGAACTTATGGTGACAAAATAAAAAAAATGCAGAGCTCTACAGGTCTAATGTTTTGCACTAGACGAACGTCATGGACTGACAAGTTAGATGCATTAAGACAAGTAATTTCCCTAAACACAAAAAGGTATATTCTGCTTTTAATTTAGATGAATCATAATTACTATAATACCAAAAATACTAACAGGCAATAAAGACTTCCGTCATAATATTGCATATTTATAAGCCTGTTTTTTATGGATTCATATACAACTCTCAACAGTTTGATGTTTCTTTTAGCTCATTAGAGCATTTAGAGTAATTGAAGAAAAGCAGTCAACATTCACAGTGAATCAAAAAGTTCATCAAAGTTGTCTTAAGAGAAGGACGGGTGCATATTTTGGTTTTAGGAAACTTGATGAAACGTTTTGATCCACCTCGAATGTTGACAACTTTAATTTGTTAAAAGCAGCATTCTATATGTGTGTCCAAAAACACCCACTTTAAATACCCAAATAATGTACTCATTCAACCAATTAAAAAAGTGCAGAATTTTGAACACTCCATGCTAAAGCTTACATAGCAGAAGGAGAGGAGCTTGTACAAATCAAAACAAATATTTATTCATTTCATTCATTCATTTTTCTTCGGCTTAGTCCCTTATTTTTCAGGGGTCACCACACCCAGGGCCGGAGTGGGACACCTTTTCAGCCCTGGAGTTTCAAGCCTTAGACCGGCCCATCTCAGTTCATGACTGATTATATTAAAATAAGGTCATTTCCAAATCAGTTTCTAATGACACTATCACGTGTTTTTTTTTTTGAGAAAGCAGCTGCTTTAGAACTTCAAATGTTCAACAACCCTAACAGTATTATATGTCTTAACAATAAAAATGAAAACAATAAAACACCATTCCGAGGAGTCGAACCCGGGTCCGCGGTGTCTTAACTTAACGTGCTAACCGCTGGACCACAACAGCTGTGATCAGAATGGTGACACAACTGAGTTATATCATCTTAGGTCGCGAGAAAATAGATAAAAAGACAAGAGTTGCTGTGAAGTAATGAATAAAAAGGCTTTGGTCAAGTAAATAAATACATTTAAAAAGTGTGACTGCTGAGAGCAACAGATTCTGGAGCTAGGGACACCAGCCCTCACGGCCAAAAAACGGACCGGCCCACCGGGAATTCTCCCGGTCCTCCCGATTAGCCAATCCAGGCCTGACCACACCCCTGAACCCCTAACAGCATCGGGTGCCCTTCCAGCTGCAACCCACACAGTACTAGGAAACACTCATACACTCTGAATCACACACACCCATATACTACGTCCAATTTAGTTAATCCAATCCACCTATACCACATGTCTGGGGACTATAGGGGAAATCGGAGCACCCGGAGGAAACCCACGCCAACAATAGGAGCAAAAAAATTATTATTTTAGAAATTTAGTAACTGTTAAACATCGTCTTGGAAATGGTTTGAATTTTCGGTTAATACATAAAACATTACGTGTAGTGCACAGTGTGTTAGTGCAGAGTATATAGTGTGTCATGTGGGATACAACTAAATGCTACACTGTTCAGTGTTTAAGTGCAACAGTGCATACTGTAAAAGTGAATAGCGCAGTGTTTCATTGGGTATGCAACTTAGGATTCCATCCAGTCAACAAATTAAACGTTTGAAATTTTAATGTGTTTTTGAAATATATAATTTGCAATGAGAGTTTTGTCTTTCTGAGTCAGCTTACTAGATTTGCAATGACTTGACTGTGTGGTAAAAAAGTCATTTGTTTAGTGCAATATGCCCAGTTTTCTCCATGTAACCATCTACAAAGGCAAAAAAGTGTATGAGGCCTAGTGTTTTAATCTAGTGTTTCAAGTCGTGCAATTTATTCCAGCCACAATTGAAGAAAACCAGAAGAAGAAATGGCAAGAAATTCAGCAAGCGAATACATGCAACATTACCATTTTGCCATAGTGCTGTAAAGCCCGCAAGGAGATCAACAGGAGCCCAACACACCAAGCATCCCTGTACAGTTTATACCACACTGGTGAACTATATCTCACCCATAGAGGTGATGTGCTGCTTGAGGGAACTTGACATTGTACAATGATGAAACACAGAAAGCTGTCTTTAAAGGTCTTCTGAGTGATCTGTGAAAAGTGGATACGACTGTATCAAGTGTAAAAACAAATGAACTTACAAGTTTGCATGCAAAACTATCACTTGTTTACATCAAGGATTCTCAAATTTAGGGTCTTTAAAATTGACACTATCACCAAAACTGTCAATTGGCCAATCATATATTCATGTGTAATTCACTGTATTATGGGGTCCAAAACAAATGTTTGGTCAAACTGCAAACGCTGCAAAATGCAGCAGAAATACTTCTGTTTTGACTGAGAAACTTATATCAGCTGCCAGTCTCTTGTAGGATTGAGTTTGAGATTTTTATTACTTGTTTTTAAAGCCTTAAATAATACCGCTTCTTCATATACAGTCAATCTGATGCAAGTGAAGAAATCAGAGAGACTGTTATGTTCTGAGTCTATTAGTGGTCCAGGGGACAAACCAGAAAAATAGAGGAGATCCCTCCTTTCCCTGCCTCTTTATATCAGGAAATGCTGTTAGAGTTGAAACAACTGTTGCTATTTTACAGTGGCATTTCAAACTATGAGGACGTTTTTGGGATAATACTAATTGTTATTGCTCAATCTAAGGTGCATTTCTCAAAGTAAAAATAAAGAAATTTAATAATATGCACAGTATTATTCTTTAAGTTAATGAATCTGAGAACAATAGAAAACGGAATAAGAAATTATTAATAGAGGCCTTCAAGTGATAGTTTAAACAAAAAATAAAATCCTGTCATTATTTACTCAACCTTTACTTGTTTCAAATCTTTAGAAGTTTTTTTCTCCTGTTGAACACAAAATAAGATATTTTGAAAAATGTTGGAAATCTGTAACCATTGACTTGCACAGTATTTGTTTCTCCTGTTACAGAAGTAAATGGTTACCGGTTTCGAGCTTTCTTCAAAATATGTTCATTTGTGTTCCACAAGAAAGAAACTCCCATCACTTGAAGAAACTACTTGGAGGAGAGTAAATAGAATAGTCTTTTTTTGTTGTTGTGAACTATTGCTGTAACAGTCTGTTGATTCAAACGTTCAATATATTGTTACTTGTTAAAATATAGACTTTAACTATTTAGACATGCTTTTTACCTTATGATAGTTTAATTTAACTTTTTACACAGAATTCAGAATAGATACAAATAAAAAACAATGATTTGAACGATTAAAAAGGAACATCCAATGCCACCTAAGACTAAATTTTGTAATAATGCAATTACTTGTTACATTATGCATAAAACTTTACAGCAGATGTCAATTTCTGTTACAGAAAATTGTCATCTACAGCTCTTAAATTGTTAGGTTGTGACTCAATACCAAGTCGTAAAAGAGTTCCTAGCGGGTCGCTACAATGTTTTAGTAAAGAATGTCTGTAAATGTAACACTGTATCATTTACTGTTTTACCCTTCAAAAGGCATCATTCATATTTACATAAGGCGCGATTCAGATAACATCATTTCCTTTTTTGGCACTGACAGCCAGTAAACAAGCTGTGATGCAGGCTGGACATTTGCATTGCACTTTGAGTCTCAATGTCATCAACCCTTCCTCTTTTGGACTTTATTATTGCTCAGTTGAGATGGTGAGCTGCTGTGAAGACACGGCAACTCTATAGGTGCTTCAGCAGTTAGTTTGCCAAAATCATTTACGTATCCTCCACTTTTTTCAAACCTTTAGACTTTCTTCTGTTTTATACCAAAGAAGATATACTGAAGCATGTTGGAGGTCACTGTTTTTCATAGCATTTTTTGATGGCTGCTCATTTCCAACAATCTTTAGAACACCATTTAACAGAAGAAAACAATTCATAAACGTTTAAAACCACTTGAGCGTGAGTAATTGGTGGAAATTTAGTTAAATTATATTGTTAAGGTTCCCATTTGTACATGAAATTTAAAAAGTGCTTAAAGGTGGAGTAGGTGACTGTTTTCAGAAACATTTTTTGTTGTACTGGGGTGCGTTTCTGAAAACCATTGTTAGCCAACTAGGGTCACAAACTGTGTCTTAACAAACATAGTTCACTGATTTGACATTTGCCAAATTCATCGTTTCAACAAACATCCGTAAACTGCATCGCAAACTTGTGCACTTGCAACTACACCTCTATAGCTGTAGTTAGAAACATAGTTCCTGGTAGTTTTCTATTCCCCGTTATCCACCTATGTCCTATTCATTTAGAACATTCAAACATTTAAACTTCGAATTATTTTAAAAAAGCATTACAGTCATCTCTCTTAGGTGTTATTTTCTTTTAAAGTATTTTTACAGTTCAGTTTTAGCAATCTTCATGTTGACAATTGCACTCCCTTCACAGTGCACTTTGAAAACAGTGATGTTATTTTGAACACATCTATATATATTTTTTATTTATTTTATTTTTTTACATATATTTACTATTTTCCCAAGTGTATATAACTACTACTGTAAAAAAAAATATCAGCATTTGGTACATACTTTCAGTATTTTCTTTGCTTGAACTGACCCAATCTAATCCTGTTAATATCAAATGAGCCTGCTCCCGACCAGGTTTGAACTACTCAAAATGTTGCTATGACAACAACTCTCGGATCAGTTTTAAAGATTAAAACAATTCGGGATCCAGTCAAATCGTCAACAACCAAATCCAGCTAACTGAGTAATCCACGTACAAAGAACAGACCCCTGGTTGAAAGTCTCTTCACATTCCAATAGTAATGATTAAAGAAAATGATCTAAATGTGTTTATATGTATTTTTGGACATATAACATTTTATACATAAGACAAAAACAAATGTTCTTCCAATCAAAATTTCTCAGACCGATAATTCCCATAGTTCTGAGAAGTAGCCCAAACTACCAACAAATGTATATTTGTACATCTGCGCACAATCACGCAAACTGATTGGCCGTTTTCGCGTTCACTTGCACACAAGAGAATGACAGTGATGAAAACAAATCCTTAATCAAAACGTTTTAAAATCCTGAATCAATATTGGAGCTACTTTTGCATGCTGGAGGAAGGATGACACCATGGCTAAAGTATTTCTGTTAGACAGGTAATGTTATATTTAAAAACTGTTTAAGTCATGCAAAGCTGGTGTAGATTATGTCGTTTTATGAATTCACTGAAGTGTTCTTCATCCACTAAAATCTTCCGGAGAAAATTTTGACTTTCACAAATGCTCACAAAAGTTATAGAGGTAAAGTTGGTTTTATATTCGCAAATTCATTCCTTTAGAAATCTCTATATTGTTTACCATGTTACTTTTATTATTCGATCGTAATTAGAATGCAAGCTTGACTTCAAAACAATATTAACACTATTTAATTGACTGTGAACAATGTTGTACTTATGATAGTCATTCGCTGCTTATATGATTTCCCTATTTAGAATTTGCAAAGAATACTTTTATAAATTATGTTATTAAGAAGAATGTCCGAATATCAAAATATAAAACCAACTGTACCTCTATCACTAAGTTTGAGAACCCTTGTCTTTAATAACAATATGAAGTTTGGGGTTTTGTGAAGTCTGTGTTACTACACCACACTACATGGTGCACTACATGGTGCAATCAACAGACCTGTCCTACAGGCTTCCAGGTTTCTGTCGGGTGGGCGTGTGTCTGTAAAACAGAAAGAAAAACGGGAAAACATGTTTGTTTTGGGAAAAGTAAAGTGAGAAAGGGAAATGCCAGCGCATCCGGTTCATCTGTACACACTTCCACAGTTCTTTGTTTTCTCTGTACTTTGTAGCCTTAATGAGTACAGAGGAGGGATGAGAAGCTAGTATGCTAGTCTTGAGAAACGAAACTACTGGCTACATTACAAATACAGTTCAAGACATCGATCTAGAGTGTTTTAATCGAACTGTTTGATGTCTTATCACAAACCATTAAAAACAAAATCATATAAAAGACTACAGTCATTTGAAACAGGCTACAAAGAAACAAGGTGTTCAAAAACACGAGGCTTCATCGACCACACAAATAAAAACAGTTGTCCCATTTATCAACATTAACTTTACAAAAGCCCGTTTAGCTGTCCAATTATCAATAAATAATGAGCGATAATATTTATACAAAGTGATTTTGAAAGTACACTTCTAACAAACATCAGCTGTCAAACGCCGTGAACGCTGCAGCTTTTACCGTATACGGCAGTACAGTACAGTGAGAAAGATTATTAATGTACGCGACGGTCATTATACAAAACTGTTATGAAAAGCATACCAGCCATTGTGGAAGTTTATTTGACATCCATGATGAAAGTGCTGTTGTGTTTGTCGGTAGCCGCCATCTGTAGGTGGGAGGAGCGAGAGATGTCATTCACGGAAACGGCCACTAGAGGGCAGTGAGATTGAGCGCCAAAATCAAAAGAAAAACACACCGTCTGTCAGTCAAAGAGAGAGAGAGAGAGAGAGAGAGAGAGAGAGAGATTTCAACAAACTCAAACTACTTAAAGAACTTTCTAAACATGACTGAAGAGGATCAAATTCAAATAATTCCTAGCAAGAGGGACAGACAGCAGCACTGGCTGAGAGACAGTAGATAAACTCAATTATGTATGCGTGTGTGTTGTATGTACTGTATTTCCTTTCCTACTGTCTATCTCAGTGACCCTTTGTCTGTGTGTTTATTAGTTAAACACTTTGTTTTGATATGTTAACATGTTTCTTATTTCTTCCATTGTTCATTTCAGTTTTAATAATTATGATGTTCTGTTTCTAGGCTGCACAGTGGCGCAGTGGGTAGCACAAACACCTCACAGCAAGAAGGTCGCTGGTTCAAGCCTTGACTGGGTCAGTTAGCATTTCTGTGTGGAGTTTGCATGTTCTCCCCATGTTTGTGTGGGTTTACTCTGGGTGCTCCGGTTTTAAAGACATGCACTATAGGTGATCTTAATATGTGAGAATGTACGGGTGCAACCCTGTACTGGGTTGCTACTGGAAGGGCATTAGTAATTAATTAGTAAAGGAACTAAGTCGAAGGAAAATGGATAATAATGAAATTGTATTAATGCATAAATAAACAGGACACAAATTTTAAGTGTGGAAATAATGGGTATAGACTCATTATTATGACTTCAAAACAACATTAACACTAATTATTGCAAAGGGTTTGCAATAATTTGTCAAATAAAAATCACAGCTCTCCAACTATATATTATATTTTTAATATGCAATGTGTCATTTATTATAAGTTTAAATGGGTTGAAGGTTTTCTTTGGTTCTTGTTTAGTAAGAAGTGGATATAAAAGAAATAAGCATTCTTCATTTTGCAAATAGACCAGTCATTGTTTTAGTTGATTTAGAAAAACTTCACAGCCTATTAAAGTTAAACGGACACAGCCACTTTTTATGTCTGAACATTCTTTCTAAAGACAACTTGAGAACTTAGTTATATTTGTTTGCAATAGAAAATATACCAGCTGTCTTTTCACTGTTGTGTGTGTATTTAAAAGACCATACAGTATCAAACCCTGATGATTTTAAACTACCACTGACTTCCTTTATTATTTTTTTTCTTTATCTTAGTCTCTGATTTATCAGAGGTCGCCACATTGGAATTAACCACCAACTATTCCAGCACATGTTTCACGCAGCTGATGCCCTTCCAGCTGCAACCTAGTACTGAGAAACATCCAAACACTTTCATTAACACATACACATACATACAGCCAATTGTGCTTACCCAATTCACCTATAGCAAATGCCTTTGGACTGTGGGGGTAACCCAAGCAAACACGGGGAGAACATGCAAGCTCCACACAGAAACGCCAACTGGCTCAACCGGGACTCAAACCAGCGACTTTTCTTGCTTTGAGGCTCTCCAGCGTTGTAAATTCTCTCTGGGTCTGCTGATTGATTGATACTGGATGGCTGATGAACAAATTGTGAAATATTTTTTATCTTACGTAAATATGATATATTTGAATAATGTAACCCACCTTTCCTACTGCACCCATCTCAATCTGAACTGGGATTGAACTGGCGATTCTTTGTATGGGGTCGGTTGCTCTAAAGACCATGGCCTCTAGCATCTGTCGCTAAAGAACGGTTTGAAGTCAGAGGAGTGAGGTTTACCTGCATATCACTTCGCTAGCTGGCTTCTGTTACACTCACTCCCATAAACATCATTCCCATCCCGGACGAGCCCCCACATGTAACCTATGGCTCCTACTGCACCCCAGGCCCGGCTCCATGGTCAAAAATATAAATATTTCGATATTTATCCACACATAATCTTACTTCCGCTTTGCTTTCTGTGCGGACTCCCTTCTCTTGACGCACTTAAACAATAATGACCTGTATAAACAATATCGAGATGTTTGCAACTGAACTACTATCAATATCACTATTAATATTCCATTAATTAAATAAGACAGCTGTGTAAATCACTGTTGATTGTTGATTTTTCATTTAAATTTCTCCAATTATTATTTGTGATCTTCCTAGATTATTTGACCCTTTTAGCTGACAAGGGAAAATTGTCTAAAACATATACACACTAGATCTTAAACTGTTACTGTTTACTGTTGTGCTTAACAGTAGTGCAATTAAATATTGACAATTCAGGATTCAATAATGAATATTGAATAAATATTGAGAATTCAAGATGTTTCAGCGAGCAGGTCGATGCACACACATAGAGCGCTCTGATAAAGCACGCTAAACGGCATATGTGCATCGATTAAAACTTGTTATATATTTTATATGCAAAATAAACGCTGAAAAATGCATTGATTAAAACTTGTTATTTGTTTTATATGCGAAATAAACGCTGAAAAAAATGCTTTTTGATAGGCTAAATGGTAATTAGCTATCTACCACTAACAAGTAGGCTGATATGGAAAGAGCTGCTATTCAAAAATGTGTTGTTAAAAATACTAATGTCCATATGGGCTCTGGTGCATTAGATAAATAATGAATAATAATAGTAAAATGCTTCAAATTCACAAAATATAGAAGATGGTATGGAATGTTGATATTTTTTCAAGGTATCACCATCAAGGTATTCCAGCATCATGATAACACTACTTACAGTTATTGTAAAGATTATTATATGCATTAAAAGCAATATGGGTGATTCTATTGCATGTACAGTTGACATTTCAAAAAGTTAAAACTCTCTGAAAACAGCAATTATTTCCAGTTTCTTATTGAAAGCATATTTAATTTTTATAATTCAGCTTTTCTCAAACATAAATGATTGAATGTTTTAATTTTAGAGAAATAAACAGTTTTTATATTGTTTGTCAACTCTGTTATGGATAAATTTAGTAATGTGTAGAAATAACGATAAATTATAGCAAGAAAATTTTTTTCTATCTATCTATCTATCTATCTATCTATCTATCTATCTATCTATCTATCTATCTATCTATCTATCTATCTATCTATCTATATATATATATATATATATATATATATATATAATTTTTGGCCCACTTAAAATGTCACTTGACCCACCCTAAAGTTCCAAGCTGGAGCCGGGCCTGGTGCACTCATCTTGTTCAGAGTTGAGATTGAATAGGGAGTCGGTTGCTCTAACAAGACAAAGACATTTTGAAGTCAGAGGAGTGAGGTTTACTAGCTCCATTAATAGCTGGCCTAGTAATACCGTATGAAAATGTACCTAATTGCATTGTTTTGGTGCCTAAGCAACCTGCGTGAACCTGAGCAAAAAAATAGATACTGGTATATACGTTCAGGTCAAATGTTAAAACGGCTTGCCATATCTTTTTGACAGCACAATTATGGTGCGCACCGCGTCTTTTCCACATTTTACGGTAACGGCGGCAGTAAGGTATTATGTTACGGGGCGTTCTTTCAATATATGACTTTTAAATTCTGCTTGAAGACTTGGACACGAATATAGGTTATTGGGGAAGAAAAAATGCTTAAGCAGAACGTGCACATTTGTGCTGCAATAATAGTTTGCATTGCACGCAGCTGTTTTTCATTTGAAAATCAGACTGTTAATAATACTGTGACTAAAACTGAATCCAATGATTTGAAGTCAATATTTAATCAGACTGGAAATGTTACTAAAAGTTTTGAGTCAGCTCAGAGGAGAAACAGCAGTGAAGATGGAGAACAGATGAACAAAGAGAGCCGTGGAGCAAAACCAGGCGAGTTCATGATCAATCTAAAAGCTGAGAGAAGAATTTTCTGGACTATTATCTTTTTTGGACAGCATATTTTGTTGTTGACGTTTTACTCTGAGAAAAATAACAAAGCCTAATAATGTATCAATGAAATGTACTGTTTAAAACTTAATATAGAGAGTTATACTGTATTTAAGTATGTGCTACATATTTAATATATTTAAGTGTTGTTGAAGGGAGAGAATGTTTATTCTAAATCATTTGTAAACATTATTTTTAATGGATAATTTGTAATGACTAATTTATTTTGTCTTTGCCATCATGACAATATGCATATTTTCCTTATCAAATTTTTACATTTTACAAATGACCCTGCAATTTAGCAGCATCTTTTGCAAATTTACATTTTACTATTTAATTTTTCTTTCCAAAGTTGCTATTTTTTCAGTAGACTTGAATGTTTACAATTTGTTTATTAGTCTTCTAATTCAAATAATACTATATAATAATATTTAATATTACTACTAAGAATTATTAGTGTATTATTAGGGTGATGCGGTGGCGCAGTGGGTAATGCTGTCACCTCAGCAAAAAGGTCGCTGGTTCGAGCCTCGGCTGGGTCAGTTGGCATTTCTGTGTGGAGTTTGCATGTTCTCCCCGTGTTAGCGTGGTTTTCCCCACAGTCCAAAGACATTTGGTATAGGTGAATTGAGTAAGCTAAATTATCTGTAGTGTATGTGTGTGAATGAGAGTGTATGGGTGTTTCCCAATGTTGGGTTGCAGCTGGAAGGGTATCCACTGGGTAAAACATATGCTGGATAAGTTGGCGGTTCATTCTGCTGTGGTCACCCTAGATTAATAAAGGGACTAAGCTGAAAAGAAAATGAATGAATGTATTTTTAGATATTCCTTTAATGCAAAACACTTTGTATGTGTGTGTGTGTGTGTGTGTGTGTGTGTGTGTGTGTGTGTGTGTGTGTGTGTGTGTTTGTGTGTGTTTACAGCAGGATTTGTTGACTAGTCGCATCTGTTTAATATCAGGCTGTATACTCAAAGGAAAGTCAGTTCAAGAACTGGGTGAAACACTTATGCAGCAAAGATGACGCTGATTCACCAGTGTGTTTTAAACAATTCTGGTGAATCAATGTGATTTTTGTTAGCTCAGCACTCTTGTGTTCCCACCAGCTCTTGAAGTAATTTTAAAA